CAGGCTGCAGGTTTGAGAGGATGCCTCCTGCATCCAGGGGATCCACCAGTGGGACAGGGGCTCCTTCCCAGCAGGCCCAGCAGGGGCTCAGGCGCTGCAGCTGGGGTGTTTAACGCTCCAGACCATGAAGAAAAGCCCCTAAGCAAACACTGCCTCGTTATCCAGGCAGCCCTGCTCCGGTGCTCTCCACACAATGTGACCTTTAGTCAAGAGCCCTTAAGGAATAATCACCGAGCAGGAGCAGTCTGTTCACTCCTGTAAGCAGCCCACCAGGCACCCCGATGCTTGCTGGCTCTGATTGCAGCCTGCAAGGGCACGGAATGAGCTTCTGTGTGCTTGCTCCTGCCTTCAGCTGCCTCCCCTTCCCAAAGGGCCTCTTAGGGGAAAAAAACCTGTGGCCAGAGCAGGGGAAAGGATCTGTTTCTATCACCTCTCCCCTTCTGGCGTTGTCTTCTTTTTTGGCTGTGGCCTATTAACGCTCCTCTCGAGAGGCGACAGAGCAATTGGCCAGATGCTGTTACAAGCCAGGAGGGTTTATTAGATTGCAATTTTCCTGGGCATGTTCCATTGCCCAAAAAAAAAAAAACCCACAAGGCTCCAAGGATCAGGGACATAGAGAGGAGAGGGAGAGCTGTGCAGTAGCAGCTATTCCTCCCCTTCCTGACGGGAAGAATTTCACTCTCGGTGCTGTGGATGCTGCATTTCTCCAAGCTCTGAGCACTCCCCACCCTCTGATCCTGCTTTTCCCTCTCCTAGCCGGACCCCTGGAACACCCACGTCTGGAAAGGGGTCAATGGGACACCCACCAAGAAGAGGGCCATTGGCTTTAAGAAGCTGGCAAAGTGAGTACCGGCGTGCTCTGGAAAGGCCTGGAATGTTTGGGGCTGCTCCTGGATTTGAGCCCCCTGTGGGTGTGTGCATCACCCTACAGATGATGCACTGAGCCTGGCTTTGGGCTGCTGAAGGCTTTACCTGCCATGAGGGACATCTGGGGGCACAGGCAGTCCTTTGAGCACCCCCTCAGACCCCCAAAAGGGGTGCGAGCAGGTTGAACACCAGATCTTGGATATTGTTTGTTCTCCTGAGCTCGTCATTCTCTGGTTAAAAGGTCTTGATGCTCAGGGGTGGCTTTCCCACTTTTGGAGGGTGTTTTGACAGCTTTTCCTTTCCTTGGGGCAGGAAGATCTCCCTCTCTCTTCAGGGCTGTGCTGGCACTAACAAAATCAAACTCCTGTCCATATTCCTCATTTTCCCACTGACTTTTTACCTACTTGAGGAGAACCCGCCCTCGGTGTGTGCCTAACCCTCCAAACACCTGCTTTGGAAGGAAGGGGGGAGATGGGAAGGAGGAACCTCCCTGCAAGGCAGCAGATGGATCAGGGCTGAGCTGAGATTTGCACTTCATGCTCAGTTGACCCCTGGCAAGGGGCCACCCCAGTGCCTCTTCCCTGCCAAGGCTCCTCAGCAGCAGGGATGCAGGAATGAAGCTCAGTTTGGACCCTTTGGCTGATTCTGGCCCGAATTCCTCCCCTGGGGGCCATTGGCAGACAGGAGCTGCTGGTTCTGTGGCAGCAGAGCCCTGGGCTGAGGCAGGAGAGGGCTGGGTGTGCCCTGGTGACGGTGGCCAGGCTGCCAGGTGGCCCTGGCTCGTCACAGCATCTCCCCACGCTTCAGTTTCCCTGAATCCCTGCTCTCAATTTGTTCCCACTCTTCAGCTGTCACCTCCTGCGAGCTGCTCTCCCTGGTGCATCCATAAACAGGAGTAGCAGCTGAGGAATGTGCTCCTGCAGCTGACACTGGGGCTGGGGGAAGAGCAGGAGGATTCATGGAGTTTGGAGGAAAAATGCTTTTATTGCTCCCCTCTGCCCCATTGAGGGATGGTTTTATAAAAATGTGAGCGTGGCAGGTCATTTAAAACAAAATCTCCATTGTTCTTGGTGTAGGGAAAGCAATTGTTTTTGTAATTCACCATTAATCCTGTCTGGATCTGAGCTTATCAGCTGTAGAAAAGGCAGCCTGAGCCCAGAGCCTTCAGCATGATTTGGTGCCTGCTCAGACTCAAAAATCTGGCCAAATCTGAGCCTTCAGACCTGCAGTCCCTGCCCTGAGGCCAGTGCAGGTCCTGGGGACAGGGGACACTGCCAGCAGGGGATGACAAAGGGGCAGAGCTTCGCTGAGGGTGGGGATGCAGCAGCAAACAGAAATGTTCCTGAGGCTGACCTTGCCACAGAGAGGAGCTGCCAGGGGCAGGCAGGATAAACCAGCCTGGAGGAGTTTCTACCTCCTCTTCCCTCTTTTTGTCCTCCCTAAATGATTCCCCAAAACCAGAGTATTTCTGGGCAGGAGGGGCAGGGGGAACTGGACTTCTCCTGCCCAGCCTCCGTTCCCACAGCTCATCTGAAGGGGATGCAGGGGCCCTGCTGGACTCAAAAACCTGGGGCGAGGACTGTCAAAGTGAATCAGGCAGCCCCTCCTCTTGCAGAGGCCACAGAGATGCTTTGTGCTCCCTCAGCCTCCCAAAAATTGCCTTTCCCTGTTGCAACAGCAGCCCAAATCCAGACCTGATGGCGTTCTGCCTTTCTGGTGGCCCCATTTAAAGGCTTGGTGGTCCCCTTAGAAAAGAAGGTGTTTGGCATGTGGGAAAGCCAGCGTTGATGTGATTATGAATGTCCCTAAAATGACAAACCCCAACCCCTGCCCCCATCACGGTGCTCCCACTGATGCCTCAGACAAGGAATCAGCATTCCTGTGCTGCATCACCCACACCAGGACTGGAGAGAGCCTGGTGGCCCCTGGCCCCTCTATGTGCCCTGAGCCAGCAGGGAGAACTGCAGGAAAAGCACCCAGGCACTGCTGCAGGCACAGAAAGAGCCAGCTGGGCACAAGGCTGGGTTAAATGTGCCACCCCCCAGCCTGCTCCTGCCAGGGGAGGTCTCGGTGCCACCAGAGTGCAAATCACAGGCACTGGGACAGCTCGGTGTGACCTCGGTGTCGCCAGGCTCTGTGTGGAGCAGGCTGGCCAGGGCAGCTCCTGCAGAGCCTCCTGCATGGAGGAGCTGCTGTTCCTCCTGTAGCTCCAGCTCTG